CATCTCCGAAACGTCGTTTTACGTTTTATATTTACTAGACGATGGAAGGTCCGGAGATAGGGATTAGCTCTATCTAGTGGGCCCAACTGTGCAGGTACCTGAAGACGGAGATAGAGTCCCATCTCCGAAACGTCGTTTTACGTTTTATATTTACTAGACGATGGAAGGTCCGGAGATAGGGATTAGCTCTATCTAGTGGGCCCAACTGTGTAAGAACCTGAAGACGGAGATAGAGTCCCATCTCCGAATCGTCGTTTTACGTTTTATATTTACTAGACGATGGATAATATCCAAGAAAATTTTTATTCAATTGTCAATAAATTGTGGTTGTCAACGTAAAGTATATTTTAGTTAAAATATAAATACATATTCTGTTGACAAATAACCTCACTCATCTGTAAGGACCGTAAAATGTTCCTTAAATATGAACTAACAGCGTTGTGTTGTGTTGTGTTCCATATTGGTTACATCTGTTAGGCTGCTGTTGACAGACTCCAATCTTTAAAGAAACAAAACCTTCAAAATGTATTTCCTAAGTGGCATTTTTCTGTGTTTGCGTGAAGACGTAACAGTGAAAATACTCTAGATTACGTAATTTGGCATTATTTAATTAGTGACGTGTTTTTAGTGTCATTAATGTCGTGTGTCTTAAAGATAAGGGTTAGAATATTTTTTTGTGTTACGAACAAAGAAACGTCTTTTCTTATATAAGAACGAGGATGCAGAAATGTTTGGAAATCCATTCACTGGGTTCACAGAAATTTATTTTCAATCAACGTGAGAACGTAGTTACTGTCTGAAGGCGGGAATGGCTTTGTGAATTATGTGCTACAAGGTCTAAGTTTATATTCCGATGTTCTGTACATGTGGGTTCTGTGGAATAATTTTACCTGCTGCTGACATGGGTGCGAAACTTGGTCTTTCGATTTTAATGAGTGGTTAGAAAGACGTTTAAACTCGGGGAAGATGGATTGGCAAGGACTGCTGAAAATTGTATCATAAGAATCTTGATAGTTTTAAGATGGCTGTCTTCTAGTTTATAGCTCCGTGTTGTCTGGTAGAAGTTTTAGAGGTCCTTGCGGTTTATAGCTCCGTGTTGTCTGGTAGACGTTTTAGAGGTCCTTGCTGCCTCCATCATCAGGGCAGCAAGGTACTCTGAAATGTTTGTTAACGTCTACCAGACAGTCATCTTAACGTTCGCCATGGTTAGTAATACATGGAGCTTTGTCTTTGTGACATCACTTGGGGAATCTGATGTAGCTGGAAGGATAATATTAATATGGATCATAGCGAAGTAGAACGCTGAGTGTATTCAAGTGCCTTCTGTAAAAACAATAGCGAAACCATGGGTTCTAGAAAAGCATCAAACTGGTTGATCATCTGAGCGAGTCTCGGGTTATGAAGAATTGGCCACGACGTAATTATAAAGTCAGTCAAGCCGTCGTTTAGTGCCACGTAGTGTTCAAATTCGTAACTGATGTCCAGGTTCTTTCGTATTGTATTTTTTTATGAATGTTTTCAAGATGAATTAAAATGCACATTTGCAATATCTTTGTGATCAGTTAAGAATATCATTCATCACGGTTGTACGCCATGTATTTCCCCCATAAATATATTATTTTTATTTCGAAATTTTTTGTTTAAAATGTTCCGAGATGTGGTTAATATCTGAGGGTCTTTTACTAATTTTGTAGTCGGGAACCGAACCAGGTTCCTCTGATTAAGAGACAGTCATTGATCCCAAATTTTCATTTTCGGCAATTATTTATCCACGGTTTATACGCGTTGTGCCTCAGGACGTGTTAGATACTGTCCTATTTTTTTTCCCATATCCTTAAGTCTGGAAATGAACCCGGATATCCTGTTACGGGGCAGAAAATGTTCGTATTCATTCACGTGTTTTCCCATAACTACCGACCACTTGTACCTTACCTTTAGAGAGAACGGAAGGCATATTACTCGATAATAATACGCGTTCGTATGAGTGTGTATGTTGTTGGTCATGTAAACTTCAATCCTAGTAAAATATAACTCTAAAGGTTTTTGAACGATCGAGTAGACGTCTTGTTCAGGTCGACAAACAAAGAAGCTGATATGGAAAGCAGGTTGGTGCAAGCTACCGAGACACGCTAAGTAATCTGTCTTGAACATTTTTAAGACACTGCTTGTGTTTGCGTAAACACAACATACCTTGTAGACGTAGAATGGTGGTAGTAATTGTAGTAGTATATTTGTCAACAGAGATGTTCGTATACGTTTACCAAGCTCCTAGGAAGAAGCAAGGAGGTGCTTTGTGAGAAACCTCATCTGCTTTATCGTGAGGCCATCTGCCGAAGCTTAACGCGACCATGCCTAAGCGCTGTCGGTTGTTGATCCTTTCAGCAAAAGTCTTAAAACGTTTACAGAGCTCTCCAGAAGCAGGCAGACCGCCAAGTCTCCAATTCGTCTTTAAGATTGTGTTCCCCCCTCCCTTCCTCCCCGTCTCGTTTTCCACGGATGGCCGGACGTACTGGTTTACGTCACTCCGATATAAATATAATATTTGCACAGAACTTTATAAATAAAATGCGTGCTACTGAAAGAATTGTCTCATATTTATATACTTTTTCTCACGGAACGTCGTTTATTACAGATACAGCAGGATAACTGGTGTGATCGTTCCATTGTTTATTTAACGACGTCTTATAAACTACGTTGGTTATGCAGCGTCGAACGGTGAGATGACTAAACGAAAAGGATGTGAAAGGAACCGGTTATTTGTCGTCTATTTAAAGTAGAGATACTGTCTGGAGGGACTGGGGAAAAACAAGAAAAGTATCACGTTAGCCGATCTCTTGACTAAAAAGCGAAACCTAGGCCCCACGAATATAGAACAGAAGTCAATTTTAAAAGCCACTGACAATCGGGGTCACCAAATTCTTGGACTTTGTCCATCGTATGTGTTTTGTATTAATAAAATGAATACTACGTTTCGAGAGTTGGATCTGCTTCCGTCCTCGGGTTAAAAAGAGTGGAGGTGCACGTACTCTGTACCGATAGAAAAAAGCTAACCTCAATCCAGTCATTGAAGTTAGTAGTTGCCCCTCCCTGTTTTTAACCTGAGGATGGAAGCAGATACAGCTTCCGAAACGTAGTGTTCCTTTTAAAAAACACAGACGATGGGCATGGTCAGAGAATTTAGTGACCCCGATAGAGCAGATGCTTCATATGTTTATGTTCCAAAGCCTGTAAGTTGTGGAATTTACGCACTAGAAGAAAGTATTTCACATCACTATTTATTGTCATTACTCGCTGTTGGTATTCCTAGGTAGTTGTGGTAACGTAAAGTTTAATAGGTTAGGTCTGACGTGAAAGTATCCCAACTCATGTCTTTAGTGCGCCGGTTTCTCTGCGCATACTTGGTCACGTGACTCAGTCATCCACCAATCATATGCCAAACCGGTGTTGGGATTCAGTTTGCTTTGTGGTTTAATTTTTGTAACGAAGCACGAGAACATATTTCTTTAGACCATTCAGGGATGAGATGACTACCCAGACATTAAACACCGAAGTTTTCAGTAGCAAAGGATTTGGATCAAATATACGTGTGAAAGAACTATATATTGTTACCGTTTTAATTATAATTTGGTTTTGTAGGCAGTCGTTGACATTGTGATATTTTCCACCTTTTCGAAATTTTACATATTTGATGCATTCAGAATAATCTCAAAAATTTATTTATAATTTGTAATAAAGACAAATGTAGTCAGTTTTATTGTCTGAAAATGTTACGTATCTCCGTTTTTATATCCATTACGTGTTTATGAACAC